AGGGGCTAATTATTTTATTTCAAAAGGCACCCCCTTTAGGTTCACACCTCCTTCTAGAATTTGCATACCTGGTTTTTTCTATATATTCCATTATGTGTTGATTTTATGGTGGTCATGTGAATAAATTACATGCTGAATTTGTTCCTTTCACTGGGTGGGATAATTATTTTTTAGGTTGGGTAGTTTGCTTTTGGGAATAATGCCAACATAGGTACCTGCCAAAGTAAACATTTGAAACACTACATTAATAGGGTTAAAAGAAACCGAGGATTTATCCGCATCCATTAGGATGCAGATAAGGTTACTAATATCTTTATCTGATGGATTATGGTTACGGATACAAATATGGATATGTAGTGAAATATCCAGAATCCATATTATTAAAAATATCCAAATAGATGTTGGCCATACAGTTGCAATGATTTTAATCCTGAGATTAATGCATTTAAAGTTGATTTTTATGATAAAAAATCTAAAACAAGCTTTTCAGATATAAACAAACATATTAATGAACTCTCTTGTATCATATGAACTATATTTTTGTCAATACTTTTTAGTTTTCACACATGTTTATCCACATATATATCCACATGTATATCCGTAGCCGATCTTAGCGGGTATAATTATGAGTTTCCCTTACAGAATCCATATCCATAGCCATTATTAGTAAGCGGATACGAAAATGGTAGTATCATATCCGAGCTGTATCCGAACAGTTTGCACCCCTAATTGCTACTGTGATAGCCACTCTGTGATCTATGACTATATTATAGTGGATATCAAAAGGCATTCAAACTTACTTGATACTTAAAATACTTGTTCATGCTCCACTCCAAAGGTTTGGTGTTTTGTTTCATCTAGGAAGTGTAAACAGATTTCTCTTACATGTTTTGGTATTGATGTCAACAGCTTAACATAAAGATGCCTTTTCAAATGATTACAATTTGTACGAAATAACATTCTACCAGATTATTCATAGGTAAAGCCTGTACCCTTTACCCGACCCAGCCATATATGATTCTTCTATTTGTCTGTTCTATTTTATAATTTTTATTATTTAAGCTGTCAGGTCATATTTATCTTATGGATTTTATTTACTTATATGTGCTAGTAGTATTTGGAGATTCATGAATGAACTCGTATCTCTTCTTCATTTAGCATTCTATTATAAATATTTATATAATCTTTTCTACCACATGCTTCGTTGTAAGGTATTCTGTTTCCTGTCATCCGTTTTTTTTAAATTAAATAAACCCATCATAGCCTCTGTTTCCTGTCATCCTGTTTCTACACTGCTGAGCTTCAAATTATTAAATAAAACCTGGTTAATTTTGTCGAAGATGTGGATGTTCTCACTCTAGAACTTGTGAGAGATTGTTGTTGAATATGATGGATATTCTCACTCTCGAACTTGTAAGAGCTTAGCTGATAATATTAGTATCCTATTTGAACTTGTTTACCATTTCTAATAATCCATAAGCTTTCACTCAGGTGTATATCTCAATAAACGTGAGAGCATGTTATGTTAAAGTTGAGGATGATGGTGAGTGGATATGCTCCGCATTACATTGAGTGATATTTATCATGATTTTCTTCATACTACATCTGTAATGTTTATGAATATTTCCAGGGAGTGGCATAACACGAGATGATTTGCTTATTCTGGGGGAAAGATATGGTATTTTAGAAAGCCTTTCATTATTTACTGTCTTGGTGTCAATGCCTCTGTTTTCTAATACTTTCCTCTTTATTCTTTAACTCCATTGATTGAATGAACACACACACACACACACACGTGTATGTATGTCATTAATTGAATATGTATGTATGTCTATATGTATATGCGCATTTATGTCTGTATGTGTGCGTGTGTTGTGTTGTGCGTGTATGCGCATGCACGCGTGTGTACGTGTGCGTGCATGTGTAAACAGAGGCTGGTGTGTCCCTACTCATAGTTGGCTAATGTGTTACTGACGTAAACTTCATGTGTAATGGCAACTTCAATATAACAGAAGCATGATATTAATCTTGTGTACAACACGACATGAAATGCTCAAATATTACATAACCTCTTTGAAAGCATATGACGACAAATGGGGGACATAAATCACTGAAGATCTCCACGAACACCAGCAAACTCTCCAACAATACTCAAACGACGTTCTCAAACTATTCTGATCATCAAATGTATCTTTTATTAGGCACCTAAAATCCTCTTAAGCATAATGCCTAGGCCGTACGAAGAATTCTCTGAATAGAAGTTCAGTTTGCCTTAAAATTTTCAAAAAAATATTATCTGAAAATTTTAAGGAGTTATTTTTCATCTTGTAAACAACACGTCTATATCTTTTAGTTGCAAGATAATTTAAAGCCTATCATTTTACTTAGAATTATGTGGTGGATTTATTTGCATATATTTATTTTTAGTTGATAAAGCGAAAAGAATTTTTAAAAATGCTAGAAAATTAATAAAATTTTATCAGTACGTTGAAATGGTGTTGCTTCTGGTGAACTTAAATTATGCTTCGGACTTTAAATTGTCTATAACTTGAGTTATTTAATATGAACATTGCTGTCTTCAACTTAAAGTGGAACTATATGTTTATAGTTTCTTTTTCACCTTGTTGCATAAAAAAAAATATAGCCAACTTGTTCTTTTGTTATTACAAAATACTCTATTTATGTGCATGCATAGTCTGCGAACGTCTGTCCAAAGTTTCACACTGAAGTTTGGTTAATTTTATGAATTATATGTGCCTTGTAAATTTTCTGATCTTTGGGTTGGTTTATTTTGTGTACAAATAGCGACATCCAAGATTCACTTTCTTATGGATATGGAGATGAATAATGAGGGCTTTGGTTTTAGAGGAGAGGCCATAGCTTCCCTTTCTGATGTTTCTTTGGTGGAAATTAGAACAAAAGCTCGTGGGATGCCAAATGCATATTGCAAGATTATAAAGGCAGGCATTCTTCCTAGGCTATCAATTTAATCAATTTTCATATATATATATATATACACATCACTGATCAGGACTTAAATATTTTAGGGATCCAAATGCTTGTCTTTTGGAATAGATGACCTGCGAGAAGCTGTTGGTACCACTGGTAAGGTGTTTTTTTTTGTGCAGCTAACTGTAGGTCATAATGCATGCCACTTTTTGTCATATTTTTTACCTCGCTGTTGTTGCTATTTGCATGTTTACAGACCTATTTGCCGCAAATATATGAATATTTTAGTAGTTTATTGTGTATTCTAGTAATCAACAAGACCTATTCCATTTATCATATTTTGTGCACTTCATCTTTGGCATTTATTTGTTTTTATTACTAGCCAAATTGTTCTGTCTATTTGTGCACTTCTTTTTTAGCCTGCTAACTGCAAAGAGATTAATAGGATTATCTGTTGCCTCTTGCAGTAGTAGTTCGGGATTTATTCTACAAC